CTGAGAATAACCCTTTCTCAAAGGAAAAAGGTGTCTTATAGTAAATGAACCTTATACATTATTTCTTCTTTAGTTTTATTACTTGTGTTGTTACTTCAAACAAAAATAAAGTTGTCTATGTAATATCAGAAAACAGGTGTATGATTATTAATATAAATATATAGAACTGTTTTGTTAGGTTAAACCAAAAATGGTATTAAGAAGATTCAAGAAATTTTAAAAGCTCTTTTTGTGAAAAAGAGCATAAAAAAACAACTTAGACAACTAACAAAAGAATAAGTCTCGTAGAAATACCAAAATAATAAATAACTATCAAAAAAGAAAAACCAAATGATATTAACGAAAAATTTTCTTCGTAATAGAAATTAATATTAATAAAGAAGAAGAAAGAAAATAGAGAAGTGAAAGACATAATAACAAAAATAGTATAACAATAATTAAAAGATAAGATGAGGAATAGTCAAAAAAAGAAAAACAGGAAAGAACTTAAAATAATTAAAAAGATAAAATATAAGAATGGGAGATACTCAAAGCACCTCAAATAATGTTTCAAGTGTAAAACCAACTACCACACCAAGCGAAAACAATTCACAAAAAACAACAAATGAAGGTAACCAAATCACTGAGATGATGAAAAAAGATGAAGAAGAGTGTGTAAAAATGATGGAAGAAGAACATAAAACAAACTTTACTGCTTCGGATGAAGAAAAAGAAAAGCAAGAAGTTATGAAAAAGATGGAAGAAACAAAAAATGAAGAAGGGGATTTAGGATATTTTACACCAGTACTCACACCAGAATTAAGTCCTGAACATCCTCCACGTTTTTCTATTACTAAAGCACCTGCATTATCAGAAATGGAGCTAGAAAATAAAAAAAGTGAATTATCACTTGATGTAAATAAAACAATTGACATAGAAGTTGGAGAAGAAACATTAAAAGTACCTGTTGAAAAAGATAATGATGACAAAGAAACATCACAAATTATTGAAGAAATGAAAGAAGAAACCCAGGAATTAAACAAACAACTACCAGAAGAAATCAAAAAGAATGAACCTGTTATTTGTATTGGAGAAGAAAAATTAAAAGAACAACAACTATTTAATGACAATGGAGAAAAAGTTCTTGTCAATGAAAAAAGAATAGAGCCAACAGAAAATGGAATTTGTGAAGAACATAAGATTGTTAAAACACAAAATGATGAAAATAAAAAAGCTCTTATTATGAAACAAGAAGAAAAAAAGGAAGAAACAAAAGATGGAATTCAAAAGAAAAGTGAAAGTACAAAGGAAGTTAATATAAGTGCTAGTAAAGAAGGAATTGTAATGATGAAACAATTATCTCAAACTATAGAACAATTAAGTACAAATAAACCTATGGAAGAAGAAACAAAAGAAAATGATAATAAAGAAAATAAATCAGAAGATGAGTTAGAGTGTATTAACACTAAAGATTTTATTAATAAAATGGATATGAATGAAATTAATAACCAAATTGAACTCATGGATGATCAAGAAGGAAATACTCCTTTTGATTTATTAAACCAAACTGATAGTGATGATTCTTTCTTTGATAATGATGATGAATTCTTTTCAGATAGTTTATTTGGTGATGACTTTTTTGAAGACGATGATATTTTCGGTGCACTCCATTCAATTTGGTCATCAAAGAAAAAGAAAAAAGAAGTGCCAATGATAGAAGAAGGATTTAAACATCCAAAAGAACTTCAACAAAAGAGATCTAAAAAAGAAAGAAGAGTTATTACTATTATTACACCAATTAATGCTAAAGATATAAAAAAACAAAATGAATCAAAGCCAAAGAAAGGTTGTGAAAATAAAAAGAAGATTGTAAAAAGAACCAGAAGAGTTACTTCAGTTCAGGAGTTATTGGATTGAGAAGAGAATTATTCCTGATTGACTGACTTAATTTGCATCATTTTTTTAAATATTTTTTCATACTTTTTATAATACCGCATCGTTTAAAAATGTCATAATGAAAACAGGACAGTTTAATAATGGTATACACATCACCAAATAATACATTAAAAGTCTATAATTTAAAGAGGAAAAAGAAAAGAATTGAAAGAAGGGAAGATCTAAAGGATTCGACACAATTCTGTAAGAATTCTAGAGGTAAGACGAGTAGTAAATAAATAATAAAAATATAACAAAAGTATAATAAAACAAGAAGAAATAAATGGAAGGGGTGAAGAAATTCTTTTGAAGAAAAAGAGAAAATTTGAAACTCATTGAGATAAAATTATTACTCAAGATGACATTAATCAAATCAGTTGGATGGAAGGTCATTAACGCAGTAAAGTCCAATTTTTATAGACTATGCATAACAGGATTATTATTTAACTTCAGTGCATATTTCTTATGGACTGTTATCCCATTAAAAGCAAATGATTTAGGTGCTTCTTCATTGGAACTTGCACTTATTCAAGCAGTGTCTTATGGTCTTGGAGCATTATTCTCACCTGTAGCAGGAAAATTAACTGATCTAATAAATCCATATTTGTTATTTAGAATAGCAGATTTATTCTTTATTGGATGTGTTGTATTAACAATGGTTCTAAATACAAAGGTTTGGCACCTTTATATTGACGTCTGTTTTTATGCAGTTGGTTCAGGACTATTTTGGCCAGTAGTAGGATCAACTGTAGGTAAAGAAGCTTCAATTGGAAAAGAAAATAGAAACAGTTCAATATATTCTGTTTGTTGGTCATTTGGTAAGTCATTAGGATATTTGTTTGGTGGGTTATTGAAAAAAGCACTTGGAGACAATGCTCTTTGGGTGGCAATTGGTTGTAGTGGAATTTTATTATTTATTTATCCATATTGCCTTCCTCCAGAAGTACGTGAACGAGAAAAAAGAAAGAAAGAAGCTGCTCAAAATCAGAAAGAACCAGAAGACATGCACGTTAAAGTAGGAACTGTTAACAAAGAGAATGATGATAAGAATAAACCTAATGCTGATGAAGATATTGAAATTCCATTGGATATGGTAAATGATTTAGAGAACCAAACTGGAGTACAAATAGATTCAGTTAAATCTAACAATGTACAAGGACATGACTTAGATGAAGTTGTTGTTGCAGATTCTAAAAGAATTAAATATAAATGGAACCAATTCCAATTAAAGAATAAAACATACATTTATCTTGGTTATATTCTTAATTTCTCTGTTGTTGGAAGTGCATCTGTATTATCTAATCAATATATTAAATTAATTAAGCAGAAAGATATAAGAGTTAACCTTCCATTAGCAGCACCAAATGATATGTACCTTGGACTCTTCTTCTTTATCTTTTATTTTGCACAAACCATTGCAATGGTGTTAATGTCTCTTACAACTATATGGACATATAAACGTTCAATATTCCTTATTGGACAAACAATTATTATGGTTTTGTTTATTGTTGTAGCTGCTTCATCAACTGTTTGGCTTCTTTTAGTATTAAGTTTCTTAGGAGGATTAGTTGCTGGGTTTGCTTATCAAACATCAACTTATTATTCCCTTCGTGCAAGTGAACAAAAGAAGGGTTTCTTTGTTGGAGTTTCTGAAGGAACAGCTAAATTAGGAATGGCATTCCTTCCATTAATTGCTGGTGTTATGGCAACTTCATTAGATAACCTTTATTTACCTGTTTACATTGGTATTGTTATTGTATTATTCTGTACTATTCTTTGTGAATTAGTGTATCATGTAGGATATACTATCAATAATAGAAGACAAAAGAAAAGAATTACACCTGATCAACATTACTTCGAAATGGAAGAATCACATACTGAGGCTCAAAAAAGTCAAAGGGACAATACTAATAAAGAGGATAGTCCTTCTACTAGTCAAAAAATTGAAACTCCTAGCACAAATCAATCAATTGATCCTTCTCAAACATCTAAAGGAGAAGAAAACCCAGTTGATACAACAATTGAAATGGAAAAAGAACAACAAGGAGAGACTAACAAACAACAGAATGAAGAAGAAGAACATCAAGAATAATTTGCACTGTACATTGATGTTCATAATTTAACTTCTTATTTAATAACGAAATAGATTTTTATAATATATATGTACAAAACAACATAAGAAAATAGAAAGTGAATAATATCAAAACTAAACATCAGTCAAAAGGATGAAAAGTAAGTAAAAATAAATTCAATTTTTTTCTAATGGAAACAACAGGACCTATTCCTAATCATAAATCAATTAACTTAATCCTTAAAAGAGCTGAAGAAACACGTGCCAGAAAATTAAAAACAAAACAACATAGAAAAGTTTTATATCCAATTCAATTAATATGGAGAGGATTATATTTTATAAATACTTATTCTTATTTCAGAATATTTATAACAGAATTAATTGGTACTTTCTTACTTAATTTTGTTGCTGATGGAATTTATACTAACCTCTTTAAAAATGAAACAAACCTTTCTAGAGAAGCTCTTTTAGTTTGGCTTATTGCAGAAACAATTGCTGTAACATTTGTTTTATATGTAGATTTATTAATATTTGCAGAATATTTCTCTCCTTCTTTTAATCCTACCATTTCTTTCATCTATTTCTTTTTAGGAATTATTAACTTTTTTGAATTTATATGGAGTGTTATTGTTCAATTTCTTGCTGCATTTCTTCAAGTGATGTTTATTTATTATCTTTATGACATTGATCATTTCTTGAAAATACCAACCGATACTACTTGTGCTTTTAGAGACTTAGTTTCTGAAGCTATTGGTACTTTCTTTCTTAATCTTACTGTTATGGTTTGTATTCATAAAACAATTAAACCCTCTGGGCCTGTTTCTTTTATTGTAGGAGGAATGATATTGACACTACCATCTGGTATGGTAGCTAACCCTTCAATTACATTTGGACGTATGTTTTTTGGTGTTGCTTTGGGATTATCTCCTTGGAGTGTAATATTTTTTATTATAGCACAATTTATTGGAACGTTTGTGGCTATTATTGTTAGTGGGTTTATCATGTTTCCTTGTATAACAGATCCTTATAGACATCGAAGAATAAATGAATTAACTAAACGATTAGAAGGTATTAAACTTGAATCGTCTGAAGAAGATTTTTCAGAAGATAATATTCCAGAACAAATTTATCTTTAAATAATTGTTAATATCTTATTTTTAATTAATAATACTTTAATTATAAATAAAATAAAAAAAGAAGAATTTAACAAATAATAGAAATATGAATGAATTAATTGATTAAAAAAGA